TTTCTAGTTTCAATATATGGCAAAGGCGCCAAGACTTTTGAAGACACCTTACTAAACCTGAAGAAGCAAGTGTTTTAAACTCCCTTTTTATAATACATTTGTTTGTCAGCCTTTTGTTTCCCTTCACTCATACTCATTTCCATCTCCAAATAATGACTCAGTTGCTTCTCATCTCTACAAAGCTGATCTCTTCCCTCCTTTTCTCAGTCATAAACAAGGGAATAGAAATTACTCCATCATACAAGAAACACTAATTACCCAGATAGTGGATTGCCTTCCTCCTCCTCCATCTTCTGCTTTAGCCTCAGTTGGAAGAGTCAATGACTAAGACATAACTGCCTAAGTACAGCATTCAGGTAAAATTAAGATGCCAACATTTCTCACGGTTTTGCAATGCTCTTGTTTTGGAAGAATGCAGACAAATATCAAATTGGGGAATAACTAACAATTTGCCAGATTATCAAAGGTCAAAAGCATTTTCATATCTAGAAGTAAGGCAGAAGCTTTCAAACTCAGTCATAACAAAACAGCAATTTATAACTTCAGGCGCAATTTAATTACAAAAAAGGTAATTCATAAAATTTAATAGTTTTGTTATTTTGAATTTTGTTATTGAAAAAAAAAAATTTAAAAACTTATTAGCTCTACATAAAGTAGCTAATTGTCTCAACCTCTTCCTGCTACAAGTGACTAGGTTTTTTTATTCTGTGCTTTTAGTTGTGATTTTTTATTTTAGAGATAGTTCGGAAACTTGTTATTTCTGAATTTTTGGGTCCTCTATTCTGTCATCAGTCACTAACACTGAATATTTCTAATATGAAGTGAAACAGCCAGTTATCTACTTTGTAAGATATTTCACATTCTGCACCTTACAGCTTTAACCCAGTGTACAGAAATCCAGTACTACTGGACTGAAAAGGCTTATCCAGCACAGATATCCAGTTTCAACAATATTTCACCAAGTGACAGACACAGTTGAATGTGGCATAACTGCTTGTTTTTTCACAGTTAACGGGATACATTTTGTATTGCGCTAAAAAAGAGGTGACTGAACAGCAGAAGGGAAGGCTGCTTTCATCTGCTGCCCTGGCTACTCTGCTCCGGGACAAGTGAAGCCTTTCAGAGGGAGAAGGATCCACTTCTTCCCCCTGAGCATTTGAGCATGTTAATCTCAAGGGAAGTTCAGGAACACAGGACAGTGTGGGGAGAAGCATTTCTATTTCATCTCACTTACCAGACCTGACCATTCTCTATTTTAAAAGTTGTACAAATCTAGTTTATTGGCTTGTATTCTATTAAGCACTTCTTCCTATGCCTGGGAGGCAAGGAGGGGGTGTTGCACTTTATGTGATAGGGGCTCTGCCTTGTCAAAGGTCAGGTAAGGAGCCAGTCAAGAACTTATAGGTGAAGACCAGCAGGCAGATCAATATTCATGCTGCTATAGTGAGTATCTGCTGGAGACCTCCTGATCAGGATGAGGCCTTCTTCAAACAAATGGAAGAAGTCTCACATTCACAGGCCCTCGTCCTGATGGGGCACTTTAATCACTCTGCTATCTTCTGGAAGGACAACACAGCAGGGCACAAGCAATCCAGATTTATGCAGTGCATTGATGACAACTTCCTGACAAAGGTGATCAAGGAGCCAATAAGGAAAGATGCTCTGCTGGACCTCATACTTACAAGCAAGGAAGAAATGGTCAGGAGCAGCCTTGGCTGCAGTGACCATGAGACAGTGGAGTTCAGGATTCTAAAAAGAGGGAGCAAGGCAAAAGCAAGACCACAGGCCTGGATTTCAGGACAGGAGATGCTAATCTCTTTAGAGATCTGCTTAGAAGAATCCCATGGGATACAGAGAGAAGAGAGTTCCAGGAGAGCTGGTTAATATTCAAGGATCACTTCCTCCAAGCTCAAAAGAAGTCCATCCTGACAAATAGGAAATCACAGGCAGGAGGCCTGAATGGATGAGCAAGGAGCTCCTGACTGAACTCAGAGATAGAAAGGAAGTGTACAAGAGGTGGAAGTAGGGACTGATGACCCAGAAGGAGTATAAAGATGCCATCCAGTTGTGCAGGGATGGCGTTAGGAAAGCCAAGGCTCACCTGAAGTGGAATCTGGCACAGGACATGTAGGGCAACAAGAAAGGATTCTACAAGTACATAAACAGCAAAAGGAAGAGTAGGGAAAACATGAGCCCGCTGCTGAACAGGACAGGGGATCTTGGTGGCAAAGGTGACATAAAAGGATGAGGTATTGAATGCCTTCTTCACTTCAGTCTTTATTGGAAAGAATGACTTTCAGGATTCCCAAACCCCTGAGACCAGAGTCTGAAGCAAGGAAGGCTTACACTTGGTGGAAGAGGACCAGGTTAGGGAGCACTTAAACAGACTGGACACACGTAAGTCCGTGGGGCCTCACAAGTTGCACACAGGAGTGCTGAGGGAGCTGGCTGATATCATTGCAATGCCACTCTCGATTACCTTACAAGGGTCATGGCAACTGGGAGAGGTTCTTGAAGACTGGAATAGAGCAAATGTCAGTCCTCTCTTCAAAAAGGCAAGAAGGAAGATCCAGGGAACTACAGGCTGGTCAGTCTCATCTCAGTCCCTGGGAAGGTGATGAAGCAACTAATGCTGGAAAGCATTTCCAAACACACAAAGGACAAAGTGGTGATCAGGAGTAGCCAACATGGATTTACAAAGGGGAAATCATGCTTAATCACCCTGATTGCCTTCTACAATCAGGTGACTAGCATTGTGGATGAGGGGGAGCAGAGGATGTTGTTTACCTCCACCTTAGCAAAGCTTTTGACACTGCCTCCTATAACATTCTCATAGATAAGCTGACAAAGTATGGGTTAGTGCGCTGGTTTTGGCTGGGATAGAGTTAATTTTCTTCACAGTAGCTAGTATGGGGCTACATTTTGGATTTGTGCTGAAAACAGTGTTGATAATACAGAGATGGTTTTGTTATTGCTGAGCAGTGCTTACATAGAGTCAAGGCCCTTTCTGCTTCTCACACCACTCCACCAGTGAGTAGGCTGGGGGTACACAACAAGTTGGGAGGGGACACAGCTGGGACAGCTGACCCCAACTGACCAAAGGGATATTGCAGAACATATGATGTCATGTGGTTGTGGAATCCCCATCCACAGAGATATTCAAAACTGGACAGGATCCTGGGCAACTCTCTCTAGGTGACCCTGCTTGAACAGGGGGGTTGAACTAGATGACCTCAAGAGGTCCTCATCAACCCCAATGATTCTGTGATTCTTCCTTCCTTCTTTCTCCTTATCCCTTGAAATTCAGTTCTCTGATAGGAACTCTTAGTAAATTTTTTCTTTCATACTGAATGCCTTGCTTACAATTCAACAGCACACATTTCTAGAGAAATCACTTGGAAATAAAAATGGGTCTTCATTCTAATAAAACTATTAAATGATCTCAAACACTGTATTTGAAATGGCCTTAGCTCATTAAGTCATGCTACAATTCAATTTAAGAGCACACCGTGAATATAAAAAAATCAAGAAACATACTATACTCTGAGCTGGGCTCATGGTCGTCTTTGAAAAATCTCTCACAGTCTTACCTCTACACACTATGAGTACAATTACATCCACATGCTTGTTTAAGATCTCTCATTGACACCTGAGATACATCTGAATGAATAGAGTAACATTAAACCTTTGCACTAAATATAGGTCAAAGCTATAGGCAATTGTGTATATATATATATGCACAGACATAAACAGATAAAAACACACGCAAAATTACGTACAGTAGTACTGCTTACTGCCAGTTCAGTAGGTAGTCAAAGACATTATTTGATCTTTTAATCTTTTTCAGTTAATTGGTCATTCTGCATCACTGAGGCTTGTTCTTGCCTACAGACATTAGGCTCAGAGAAGTGAGCAAAATATAGGTCATGTCCCTCATATTTATCAATTAATTAGCAGATTAAATCGATTAAATAAAAAATGACACTTCCAGTACTTTCTCAGTATTTATCTAAGATTGTGGGAGTTTTTTTAATAAAAATGATGCATTTTAAACCTCTTCAACTGATTTCATTACATATATTATAGATGAACTAAAGAGTTTTCCACTTTTTATTCTAATCCTGTATATCTGCTACCTGACCCACCATGGGGGAATCAGAACATTTTTCTCCATATAGATAGAGACCAGAGAAAACTAGCATCTCAAAACAATGACACACAGAAAATAGAAGAGGTATTCCTGGAAGGGAGCGGAGGAGGGAGGGGAGGAGGGAGCTTTTGTAATACACTTCATTAGCTTAAATAGCAATAATGTGTGTAAGAAGCAAAATCCAAATCTGATCTTTTAACAGTGAAATTTAAAAATATATTAATCCATAGTTGTAAGGAGATACATTTGATCAAGTCTTAATCCAGAATTCATCTGGGATTTTTGCAAAGTTACACACAGACTGGTACTCTGATTCCTTCATTGCATTTAAGTATCTAATCCTCCTCCAGTGAAATAAATGGGAGATATTCCAAAATAATCAATAGAAGTTGGATGAGATCCATACAGAACTACATTAAAGACCAAGGAGTCTACTCTGTGCTGCAGATTGTTTGTTTTTAATTACACAAAATATATGTGCAAAAAACTTAACTTAAACCTGAAAGCTTCCCTAAATACCAAATTTTCTGTCATGAAATAGTCACACATGCACAGAATATAAAAATACACCTGGAAAAAATACTGATGCAAACTTTTTTTTTTCCCAACATAGGCATCAGAAAATACGTTTTTTTTTTTCTATATAGCTTTTAAAAATGCTGTGTTTTAAAAATATCCTGAAGTCACTTTTCAGACCGCTTCCAAAAAACTTTCTTCCTGCTTGAATTTTTATTTTCACACTTGGTCCTGCCTATTTAAATGCTCATGGAAAGAGAAAACAGTTCTACCTGCAGACTCAGGAAACAAGTCTGAAAATATCTCCTCACCGTATTTTACATAAAACACTCACCAGTTTGCCACCAGTGGTCCAAGACAGGTACCTTGAAGACCTTTTTTGACCATTCTAGCGTGTCCACATCACAGCGCTCACCAGCTACAAATAACGTTCTGAACCTTTAAATAAAAAATAAAAAGTATGTATTTTGATCTGGATGGGGAAAGGAAAACAAGAAAACAAATTCAATAAACATCTATCATTGGTTTCCTGGATGAGATAAAGAGAAAAGGGGAGGGAGAACTCTTACTCCTTTTATGCTCCGTCCTACTGAGTAAAAATTAGAATCTTAACAATATTAATTTATGCTACTTAAAATATCATGTAAAAGACGCTTTATCTTCAGAACGCAAAGACCCTGTTAGACCAGTGGCAAGCAACTGTCAGTGAAAGTAAAAAATAATTAAATACTCTGTACACAGGAACTAGGTAGATATCTGTTAGGCAAAACATAAGAATGAAACACCAAAAAGGGTCAGGAAGAGATACCAGAAAAATTAGTAAATAAAGAGAACTAAAAGGAAACACCTGTAGCATAACTCTTAGCTTTAAGTTGTTAATTATGTTCCATTTAAACAGATTTTAGTCTTTTTCAAGCTGTGGAGTTATCTTTTTACACACCTTTGGAAATGAGTTTTGGGGGAAACAATGAGACCTAAAGCCATTCTCCTGTGGAGAGGTTGGCTATATATACACTAAAAAAAAAAAAAAGTAATCTTACTAGATAATGCCAATGACAGAACAACATTCAGCCCCTGACCACAATACCAGATTCAGCTCATTTCACTGGACATGCTGTAGCCAACTTTGGCAGAGAAGAGACGCAACACCTGGCAGTTCTGACAGATGTGATTTGCACATTTGTACCATTAAATTAGGTAGCGCTATACAACTGGGTATTAAACCCATACAGTCTTTAACTTCATAATCTTTTATCAGATGTTTAGTCACACTTTATTGTCCTTCATTAAGCATTACAAATTCACTTCATGCCCTGTTTAAAATTGTACGATCTTCTATGTCAATGGTCGCTTTCTTAAATAACACTATCAGTACTCAGAAGCTAGGCATTACTGTACATTACTGCGTGCTTCTAAGGTTTTGATCTTTCTAACACTTGCCCAGTAGCTTTATTCATGTTATAGCAGATTTTTTGCACTTCTTATTTCCTAACAAGCAATTTAAAGCCCTATTAAATTGCATATAAACTCACAGATACTCATGACACTGGACAGACAATGTCACCTAATAAGAAGGTACTAAAGAGAAGAATCATTTACAGTCTTGCCTCACACCTCCAACAAACAAATAAGCAATCCTCTTCAAGTAGAAACACAGAACTTTGAATGCAGATTCATTATGTACAGATGAAAATGAATGGCCAGCTATACTGAGATGAACCGCTGATTTATATTCAATACTTTACCATTAGTCTGTGTCATGACAGCACGGTTTCTGTGGAGAACAATGCATGGTATTTATCTTACTTGGCTCTTATTGTCAAAAAAAAAAAAAAAAGTCTATGCTGAACTAGTTCTCTAGGCTTCTTCTATAGTCCGCAAAGAACAAGAGGCAACTTTAGAGAGTAGTTTACCTTGAAGAGACTCAAAAGGGTAAGGTTTATTTTTTACCTAACAAAACCAAAATGAAAACCAATATTAAAAAAAAAAAAAATCCAAGGCTCTGGAGCAACACTAACTAACACATGACTAAGCTACAGTATGGAGACTTTGTTAAGTTACTGTTTAAAAAGATAGCTATAGATACAGCTATTAGATTACAGCATTGCAACTTGGAAGGGATGTTCCCACATCTCAGAAAATCAGGAATGTCTGACATTTTGGACATTCTTATTCTGCTGTGCACTTAAACATGTTCCTATTTAAGCAAGATTTTGAAACAGAAATCATCTATTTGGGAAATAAAATCTAAACCAGGGAGAAAGTTAGGACATGATATTTCTGTTTTACAGATAAATTACAATGGAAAACTGCATCTCCTTCCCCATGAGGCTGGTGTGGCAATCTGAAACACTTCAGTTACATTAATGCCTGTTTGTAACCACCGGGTGCCATCCTGCTATGAGGAATAACATGAATTCTGAATGCAGAGCAGGGTGGGCTCATGCCTTCCCTCTCCCAAATCCTCCCTCTTCGGTGTATGACCAACAAAGACAGCACTTTCATTTTACCCAGAGATGCAATTTAAAACCTCAAAGGGTTGAGGGAAGAGAGGAAAAATAAGAAGGAAACATAGATTCAGATTCCACATCAGAACTCTGTTTACCAGAAAATAACCTCTTTCTTTCTCCGAGTGAAAGCACACAGGTATACTCGCACTACAAGTGACTGAACATTTCATGAACAGCCTGTCATACTAACAGAAACTACAGAGACACTCTACCAAGTACCGCATCAATCCTCAAGGCTTATGATATGACAAAATGCCTCACGAAGATATGAAGGGAGCTTCATGTGGCCCAACAACACGCCCTGGGATTAAAAATAATTCTCCAAAATGTCCTCCTGTTAGGATTGCATCACACTCTACCACAGCCAGATCAACGTCAGTGGCATTTTGTTATCTCTAGGAACCTAGAGATTGACATCTCATAGCAAAGCCTTCTTATCTAGAGACCACAGACTTCCCATAGCAAGACTGCCTAAGCCAAAAAGCATACTTTGAATATTCACCCCCCATTCCCCTCCAGAGGACAGGCGCATCCTGCTAGCACAAAAGGCAGCCTCTCACAGTGTAAGGACTAGTGCTGTGCACATGCAAGGCAGGAGAATATAGAGAGTAAAGCTATGTCTAGAAACAACGTAAGTAAAACATGGGATGAAACATCATTAAGTGCTATAAGCCATGTGCTCTAAAATTGAAAAGTGTTTTTTTCACAGTGATATTTGCCCTAGACATCAAAAATGTGATGAGTTTGTTGTCTTTTAGATCCATTTACAGATCCATACTTAGACTACAGGAAAAGAAACTTCCACAAGCAAAAGTTGTTGGGAACTCTAATCACCAAGGTAGGGACCCTGCACCAGTTAAATATAACAAACTGAGAACGGTCTTATCTGTGAATTAAGCAGAAGTAACAATCATAGAGGTAGCCATAATAACAACTTTGATATATTAAAATCAACTTACAGCACATCTAGTTACGAACTTATGAACATCAGATCTTGAAAAATGTTACCATGTTGAACTTGAACATGCAAATAAAAGAATTCAACTTCCTTAAGTTCAGAACAGCATTGCAACCAACCCTCCTTTCTAACATCCCAAGATGGGTTGGAGTGAGCTCTTCCTTGGAACAGAAGGGCAGGGGGTGAAATATATAAGCAGCTTTCACATCAAATAAGCACAGCTTTCTGTACTCGTAAGTATACAATATCATTTTGGTAAACCGCTTTCTGAGCACATCTCCCACATTAGAAAATAATGATTATAATGAGTGTGACCCCAATCAATATCTTGTACCTGAATGCTTTTTATTGTAAAGCACAAGCCAGTGCTGATAATTATAGTTAATAGCTAACTGGAAGTTATAACATAGATAAAAGTTTATGATAGAAGAGAACAAAATATTGTGTAAGTAAAAACCACAAATATGTATTTTATGAAAAGTTTTTTAAGACTCATGTTTACATGCAGGGCACTCCTGTTAAGTACTGCTCAATTTACATTATATGGAGTGTTCTGTAATTAGGCGTGTTAAACATAACGTTTCAGCTACGATGTAAAAATTCAATTTATGAATTCATTAACTTTATAAACTGCTGAAAAATTCTGTTAAGTGCCCTTGTTTTAAAAACAGGGCTACTAAAACACCAAGAACTTAAAAGACTTTACGAAAACGTTAAGACATCATGTTATCCCCCGAGCCAAAACCAGAATTCCTCTCCTCAGAATTACCAGCTTTAATAATCAAATTTAATAATCTGCAGGCTGAAGAGCAACCTTATGTTGCAAGAAGGAGAGGGATAGCTCTTTGGCAAATTTACAGCACAAAACCATCAAAAAGCATACGAGAGCAAAGTGCCACAAGCCTAACAAAGCATAAGAACTATGGAATTATTTTCTCCTATCAAACAGTATAGCAAGAGAGATGGCAATGGTTACAAAACGTCCCACTGAACAATTTTTTAACAGTTCAGTTAAATCTTCAAAGCATGTCAATGCACCTGTTACTGCAATCATCTATCACTGCAATGCAGTTAATGGGGAAGAAAAGTCTTAAAATCTCTCTGTTAAATAAATATGTCCTAAGCTGTTGTTCTGAAAACCTACATTCCTAACATAAAAATCAGTGCAATCAAGCTTTTAGGCCCTATCCAAGAGTCCAGCAGAGTGGACTTGAAGTATCACCTGATATAGGGGACAGATCAAGGTCCCTAATGGCCCTGACACAATCTAAATTGTTCAATACAGCATGTACATTTTGGTGTCACTCCAAGCACAAAAGAAACCACATCTCCAAACCATTTCCCAAAAGCAGGAGTGTTCACATGCGCAATAATCTGAGCTGCACTTTTCCAAATTAAAAGATCACAGAAGTGGTTTTAATTCTGGAATGCATACATCAGTTTTTTTCTGGCAAAGAAAAACTCTATCTGCATCATGTTAAATAAGGTTTTTTTTTTCTCCTGAAGAGACAGAGAGGAAGGTTCATTTGCACTTCTTAACATAAGCTGGAAATAAAGAACTCTTACTAATTCTTTGTGCACCTGGAGACTGCAGACACTTAAACGTGTAAAATAAATAAATAAATAATATTTTCAGGTCTTCTGATTTTTCTCCATTGATGTGTGTGTCCGTTTTCATCCCTGAATAGATTTTACCTTGGTCGTGAGAATCCGAGCACTGGAGGTTTGGGTGACAGAGTCAGCAGAGACACAGAACACAGCTGCAGCTCAGCTCCTTCTCACAGTGTGGGTCAAGGGGAGCTCCACGAAGGCTCTCAACGGACACAGCTCTAACAGGAACGGCCATACATGATCTACAGCACCACCGAGTAGGGCGCAGCAAGCAGAACTGCATAATGTACGTCAATTGTCCTAAGTTCTGGGTCTTAATCACATATCCTCTAGCAGCACGTGTGAGACTTCGATTGCATGAGAAAGTGTTTCGTTCTAACAGTTTTGAATTTGCTACTTTAATTTCACATCCTCTTGTTCCTGTGTTATGAGACTGAAAATCGGAGTTCCTAATCTACTTTATATTCATTATTTCCGCACAGTTTTTATGCAGTTTCATAATTCTTTCTAAAGCAAGTGTATTAATATCTGGTATCAGATGAACAAGCTAGAATCTCTAGATTCTCTTCATATAAAATGGCAGAACATTTGCAATTGACCTAGAGTCAAGAAAGCCAAGTAGGCTATGGGACACAAACAGCAAATTATTACTCGTATGTTAATCTAATCTGCTGAGTCGTTGCCCCATTTCATGCAAAACTGTCAGTTGTCAATCATTTGGAAATCAGACCTAACCAGTTCATAACAATTAAGTCAACTAAAGGATGAACTGTGATTCCAAATATGGGAAGAGTTAATGGCTCAGTGTTATGCAGTTACCTCATGAAGATGAGAACAGACTCCAAAAGCTGAACAGAATATGCTCAGGTACATGAGGGTCATAGAATTTGATGTCACTTGTTTTTCAAACACAACAGGCATCAATATGATCAGACAGCCCACTTAGCAGCACTGTGTGTTACCAAAAGCCAAGTCTTCAGATCCTCTAGCAATATGTGTTTGAACGGGGCTTTTATCCTACAGTATTACAAAGTAAACATCTCTTTTACTGTTAAGTGCGGGCCATGTTTAAGACATAGGTGACGTTTTGTGCCAAAGGCAAACAAATTTCAAGATTTTACTCCAACAGCCAACAAGGAACTTGAGGCATGCACACTAGAACCTTCAGAAACCTCACACATAATTTTGTGCAGAGGCCAGTGATGCCACCAATATCAGTTCTGAACAGAAATTTATTTAACTTATGTCCTTTCAAAAGAATGCAAGCCTGCTTATAATACAATTTACTCCTGTAAATCAAGTACTCCCTTGTATACTGGAAGCTGGCATTGCCTACCAGCTCTGTACCTTATCAGTAATTGTCTTTTTTAATGGGATTTTTAAAAGGTGACATCGACCTTTATCAGTTTTTTAAATAGTTTTCAGGAATGAAATGTACCATGTGGAAGCCTCTTTCAGGACTGCATTCCTGGACATGTGTTTTGGAGGCTCTAGAGTAGGTAAGGATACACCTTACCCCAGGTAGCAGAAAGACATCTCATTTCAAAGATTCTGCAGCATATAACAGAGAAGAAAGCATCATAGATCAAGTAAATTAACTAAAAGTAAGACTGATTTCAAACTGAAACAGACAAAATTCACTTGACCTTGGATGGAAAAGTCCATCCAAGTAACACCCAAAAGCAAGGATTTTCCTAGAATGGAAATTTTAATCACCTGTTGGAGTCCATTTCTTAACAACTGCACCTTAACCCATAAAATGGACATACGCTATAACTAGCTGGATGTTAATATTGAAGTCACCATAGGACAGACAGTCTAATTTAAGCAGTATCACACACAGCCACGTAGTTATAGGGTCATGAATAGACCTAACAGTAAGATAATCGTAGTCTAACATGAAAAGAGAGGCATGCTGAAGACTGTCAAACTTACTGCACTATACTGGTGGTTGGAGAATAGTCACTGGACTTAAGTCAGTACTATACAAAATCCAAAATCTTTTTCATCTGTGGGTACTGACTTAAGACAATCCAAGAGAATACTAGATATTAAATGCTGCGCTAGAGGGTTTAGTAAAGAGAAGTCATGTACCAGGGAATGACATGGCCCAAAGCTGAGTGAATTACGAGACAAGTAAATTTGCAAATAAATGGGAGAAGCTCATTAATCATGTACTGTAGAGGAATGATGAAATATCTCTTTACATCTGGGGTAACTGGTATCAGCAAGGAGACTCTTATCTGGAATTCTCATTTGGCCAGAAAATGTGACAACTTACAGAGCAGCTTAGAAGATTTTCCATTAAATGAATACTCTAAAGACAGACTAAATCATTTTAGTCATTGCCTAAAAAATGCTGAGGAACAACAATTAAATTTTCTAGCATCTGAATCACTTTCTTGTCAATAAACATCATAGAGGGATAGTGCTTTAGGGTCTCAGATGAGCTTGTTTCCTGTTTCAAGGAGGAGTAAGGATTGATGATAGCACTCAAAACAGCTGGAAGAAAGTAATTATGAACTTGTAATGAATACCTCTGGAATAAATCCAGCTTACCAATAAATAAAACTTTCCTGAGCAATTAAGAATGTGGAGGTCTAATGAAGCTACATGGCTTTGCATCTTCCCCTTCTCTTTGGACAAGTGTGCTAAAAGATGTTTTATGACTGAATACTGCCTACACAGTCTGACACAGTCCAGGTATGATGCTGAGCAAATTATTCAACTTCAAGATTCAATGTGGTCCAAACCCACATATTTTTCATTTTTAGACTGTTTGCCATAAGATATAGAAACTTGGTCTGTAGAAGCACTAAATACTCACAGATGCAAGTCAGTGTGAGAGGCATTTTATTAATATAATGCTAATAACACATTTTAACCATATAATGCTAAGAATCTCTGAAATAGTGGCAGTTCAGTGGCTCAGACTGGATATTCAAAACTAATAGAAGACTTTGACCTTAATCTCTCTGTGTCTCAGCTTCCCATCTGCAAAATACAGATAATACCACTCTCATCTCACAGGGGATTTGCGAGGATGAACTAAGTCATGGTTTTGAAGCATGCTGCTAGTATAACGATAAGCACCTTAAAAACAGTACGAGAGAGCAAATAGCTCAGTCTTTGGAGCACATAGCCATAAGCAGTAACTAAGTTATGAGGAGATAAACAAAACATTGACTAGTTGCTGATTAAATGAACACTAAAGATCCTGTGCACTCAATGAAACGAGAGGTCATGTGGGAAAACAGTACAGGATCACGTAATCCAAGACTGTATTACAGGGTATAAGCACCGTGAAGTAAAATTAAGGTTGAGCGAGTAACCCTAACTCAGTAAGAGTTCTTAACCTTAGAGCTGTAATCTTTTTAACACCTTTCATCTCCTCCAAACTATCAATATAAATTTACAAGCAAATACATGTACACCTAAATTGTAAAGAATACATTTGAACTCAGCTACACAGAGGTGGGCAAAGGCCCAGACGCTCTGCTATTCTTAGTTCATCCAGCCCGTTTCTGTAAGAAACTGCTTCCAGTGTATCCTTACTTCACCTTTTCAGAGAGTACTGCTTTCCCAAGGCTGCCTCAGGGTCCTGCTGACGGATTGCTCTAATTGCAGTTGGTGAAGTAAAGAAGGCAGCTACTTCATGCTCTGCTAGCACACGGAAATAGGCACCAGCATCTGGCGTTCCCACAGGCTTCCCCTATGGAGAGAATAATTTAAAATGTCACAGGATAAAAATATTTCATAATTCCTTGACAGTTCAAGGCTTGAACATGTAACAGTAGTGGTAGCACTGCAACAGAAGTAATTTCAAGTAAGACTTTACAGAAGGCTTTGTTAAAAATAATAATACTGTGAGTGTATTCACTTGTAGAAAAAATTTCACAAGCTTTAGGCACAATGTCTCGCATGAACACAGCACATACTAGCTCCTACTTAGAAAAACAGGACAAACAGACGTGAATAAAAAGACAGCCACAAAGAGCTATTATTACACTGGCAGCAGAGGGAGTCATGTCTACATCTACCCTTACTGCAAAGCAGCCTGTAGAACACCCAGAGTCCCACTGAACGAGGAGGCTCTGGACACAGCAGCACTGCAGCTGCATCCCCCATGCACAGGCCTACGGGACATAATGCCAGCTTTTTCTTACCGAGTCATTTCCTCCCAATTCTGGAAAAATTCCCCACTTCGCTGTTTACAACAGGCCTCTTGGCACCTTTGTGCTGCTACCCCACATGAAGACTGGAGAGAAGCCAAAGACCCCTTTTCTGTTTTAGTGTGCTACCAGACTGTGGGCTGGTTTGTGGTTGGGTTTTTTTTTTTTAAACTAAACATTGTCTTGAGCTAGGGGGCATAGTCAGATTTGTAAACAGAAGTAATCAGATGTGACAAATTGTCCAATGGTAAATAATAATAACAAAAAATAATCAAAAATACTTTTCTGTGATGCTGCAAATACAAAAAGCAGACAGCACAGGACCATATAATCACAATCCTACTATACATAATTACCACAGTGCATAACTGCTCCATACATATCCTGAAATTACGAAAAGATGATGTTAACGCAGAATGAGCTTTAACTCTACAGGTATTGCCATAACCTTTTCACTAGAAAGGCCACACTTGGAAGATGAACTTTAACAGAGCACACAAGTTAGGAGAGACATATACTTTTCATACTGAAAATACAGCTTTGTCAATGCTTTACACAAGAAGCCACAAACACAGAGAAAGTTTCACTACTGAAATGTCACCATCTATACAATAGTTCACCAGTCACAAGACAAACTCATACCTTTACCATCCTTGTGTAAATGCAAATTTGGATAGACAGATTAATAGATCCAGTGGAAAAAAACGAGCACATAAAACCCTAATTAATACTTTTAGCTTTACCAAGATGCAAAAGGAACACAGGCATTTGAATACCTTGAAGAATTTACTAAATCCCCTATTTTTATTCTGATAATGAGGCACTAGTAACACAGTAAATGTCTCTATGAAAACACACACTAATCAAGTTAGTTGCTGCTTCTCAACATAAAAAGCAGCACGCTGGCTGCGATGCAGGCTCATAGGAATTCATCCATCTCCCTCTCTCCCACCTGTCCTCCCCACTGCAGTCTTCCCCAGGCTTGCTCTGCATCCAGCTGTGCCTGAACACTGGTAAGAGCACCTAAGAACCATTTGGCAGATTTAAGGAATGCACGACACGTGAGGTTGGATACGTACCATTGGCTTTGCAGCCCTACAGTGGGATACTGCTGATGAGAGGAGTGCTGCAGCACAGGATCACCGTAAAAGGAAAAAACAAGACAAAACAGAATGCACAATTGAAAAGCCTTTTTTTTAAGGATGGAGAGGCAGTGAGAAACAAATGGAGAGAAAATAAACAAAAGAAACAGTCCCCAGCCAAAGAAGCAGGGAGGAGTATCACCAATGCCAAAAACTCTTTTTGCTAACAGCCTATCCTAAATTATAAAAAAAAAAAAATGCCAAAGATTGCTATTTGCTTGCTGAAAACGTGAGTTATGTCTTTTTTTCTGTCATATCATGCACAATTCCCAAAGAAAAATCTTTCACCAGACCGTCTTTCAGCATTCTCCTTGCACACTTCGTCATCACAACTTTCATGTATTCCTCCAAGTGTTCATCAGTATTTGCTCATGAACCTATTTATTCAAGTTCATGTCATCTCCCTGTAATGTTCACTATTCCTGCAGCTCTGCAACCATCTGGTTAGGAGCCTACATCACTAACTAACACTTAAACAAATTATCTCAGACTGAAAAATTCTGTATTTCCATAAACTTCTCATTAATTAATTACATAACTGAACTTGCACCATTTGTAATCATCTTGCACAGCAACAAACCTAACTGTAGAGCAATCTGAAATTGGTTAGTCTGCCAGTAATAATGTAGGCTGTTACTTTTAACCAAATGGAAATGTCCAGAGCCTATAAAAGGGCTGTGTCTGGCCCTGAGCACACCTACTCCTTCGTAGGGGCTTAGCTGCTGATACCATGGTGCAGCTGTGTAACCTTGGATCAGACCACTGGGAAAACAGCAGAGTTGTAAGAAGAGCCGAAAGGAGCCTCCCCTTGCTCAGGAGGCAATTTAAGCTCAGGGCCTCACCCTTAGTCCCTGCCCAAGCTACATCACAGCCGTGCCTGTGCCTCGCACCTCCAGCAAGCTTGAGCCTGAGCCTTAGAACATGTAGGCATGCAGGGCTCTGACAGGCTGATATTTATATGTCACAGGTAAGCTACAACAGCTTTCATTTGTAGAAGTACTATTCTCAGATCTAGGAGAAAAACAAATAAAACACAGTCAGTCTAAGCAAAGGAATAGAAAGTTGCCCTCACAGTCGATAGGAAATAATACCCAAAGAATAAGGCAGCACTTAAAATATCCATTTAGGAAAAAAAAAAAAATCTGGCCCAGCTGTAAAATATTCTTACTGATTCTGCAGAAAAACTTCCCCGGTGCCTTGGCAGCTGTTCACAGTTTAACAAATGCATAAACAAAAACTGACATAGGCAAAACAAATCTGAGACTGGAAATTAATTTCAGAGCCCAAAAAATTACAAATAAAATTGCCAAAGAGAGTTCTCATTTATTATACAAAAATTTTAAGAACTACTGCAAGATGCCATGAGAGGCTTATTACTACTTTCAGTTTTGATTTTTAAAAAGTTAGCAATATAAACAATAAAGCACAGGGTAATTAAATTCAGAATATGCTGACAGATTGCTGATTCAGTTGGGGACTATGAGCAAATGAGATGCTTCCACTGGATTTCTGCAGGGATCAGTTCAAGACCTGTTGCTATTTCGCATTCGCATCAATACTGTAGATAAATTTTTTTTTTAAAGTTGCTGGCAATAATATCTGTGGTTGGCAGGAACTGAGTGCATGGTAAACAAGAACAAGGCAGTCAGAGAGTGATCTGCCTCACCCAATTTAAAAAACAAAAGTAGAAACTGACACTTCTTCTGTCAGCTAGGAGTATTCAGGTAGAAGAGACTTTCTTTTAATAACCTACCAAGAGACTCCGAGACAGACAGACAGATAGGAACATCTTTCTGGAAGTACCTAGATTTAGCACGTAATTTATCAGATGTCTACCAGCTGAGCAGACACCCTCAAGCAGAATGAGTTGATGGATAATACATGATTATGAAAGAAGATTCATAGTCAGGCAGCAAGAATGATCAAGGGGATAGAAATGTTCTCCTATGGAGAAAGCCAGAGGCCACCAGGATGGATCCCTTGAGGAAAAAGACCTGTAAGAGGAGCTATAAAATAACCAACAATGCATCAAGAACAGTTCAGCAATGCCCCTTCTGCCTGACTGCTAACAAGGGGCTATTCAATTAAAGATAAATTAAAAATTATGAGGAGGAAATTCTCTCTGCATAGCAAAAATTATACATGGAAGTCATTGCCACTAAAACCTGCTGACACCAAATCACACACAAAATCCTGACACATCAGGATTCAAAGGTAAATGTTCATAGAGGCATTCGTCATGCTGCTGCTGGCCCTGCTGCCAAACTTCCGCTAAGAAACTGGGATGATACATCCTACTGAATTCGCTCCACAAATACAGTCAGTATGCATGACGGCAGAAAGATCACAAAACTGGCAAACTCCAGAGGCAATGCTTTCTTTGTAAGCAGATGATAATGGGTTACAAGAACTGTAGAAAGGCTGGATGCCCCTAAGTTGCTAACAGCTGTGCCAGATTAGAGTAATTTTAGACCTGTTGCTGTTGTTGTGCACCCTGCGGATTTGTTGCAACAGGAGGGACTGGAAGGACGCCAGTGAGCGTGTGAGGAAGGCTCCACGTGCTCAGCAACGTCTTGCTACAGCTCTGTGTGGGACAATAGCTCCTTCTCTGTCCTAGACCACTCAAATGAAGTCCTTAATGCATAGCTCCTTGGCAAGTGTAGGCATCCTCTTCCTTACCCTAGCTCCAATTCAAAGTCCCAAGCACTGGAACTACAATGCTGCCTTTTTCCTGACATCACAGGATCACAGGTAGTAGCCAGACTTTCTCTTCATGCTGCCCTGTTGCTTGCAGCTTGCAATCCCATTAGCAAGAGCAACCCAGAGTGGGCTGTGAGACTTCAAGTAGCTTATTTATAGCTGAAGTTTGTCATGCCTTCGAGAAAAACAATCCAGGACAGATTATAAAAAAAAAAAAAAAAACAAACCCACAAAAAACAAACCTTGCTGTATTCAAAGGAATTCATTACTGTTTTCACATTCCTGACAATGGTGTTACAGCAAGTAAAAATTGAAATAGCAATAGTTTCCATAGCAATTGTTAAAATGACGACTTGTCACTTACTAAGTAATTTAAAAATAAGCAAATCACTTTAAGAAGTGAGGTTATGAAGTCAGAACAGTTTATATTTAATAGTGGTTGTCCCTAGGCAAAGGGGATGAGGTGTTCTTTTCCCACACCTACACAGCATACTGATACTCCCTAACCCAAAACCCATCATTAGGCAATCATTTAGGAAAAACTTTTGACTACAAATTTATGAACACTCACTGTTAAGACAGTCTTCTGAGCAGAGGAAAAATTATACACTATTCCTCTTTGTAAACATTATTTTTCTCCCTATGTGTACAGAAGCCTTCCTTTTCTTCCCATTTTTAATCCTGAAAAAGATGACCCT